TAAACTTAACACCTGAGATGTGAACTCTTCCCTAAGAGAAAACTGTGTAATTTTGGTAGCCGGCCCATATAAAAACGTAAGAGAAATTGTAGAATTTTGGCAGCCTAGCACTCCCATCAGTCCAAATAAAAACCTAAGAATAAATTGTAGAATTTTAGGTCTAATATTATCACTAACCCAACTCTAATTTTTAGTTTGAATCTCAACCCAAGTCTAATGTTTAAAGACGCTACAATTATCAATTATTAATTATTCCTTTCATTTCATTCATGAAATGTGAATATTTTATTGTCAACTTAGATATTCTATTTAATACATGTTTAAGTAAAATTTAATTATAATTACTAAGTAAATTTTATTTTAGATAATTTATATTGATTAGATCTAAAAGTAAATTACTTATTTTAATAGTTAGAAACACTGCATATTTTTCTAAATTTAAAAGTAAGGGAAAATTACAGCCAAGGTACCAAACATTTCGTTTATTAATAAACTTTGCCCAAACTTTTAGTTTGTGCCACCGTGAGTAACAAACCTTTAAAAAATTCGCAGTTCAAGTCCAGATTGACGCTTTCCATTAGTTTGTCCCCAAAAACTATTAGTTGACCTTGAAAATTAAACAATCTAATAATTTTAACCATTTAAGGTAAGGGTAAAATTGTAACTTTATAATTTAATAGAAAAAAATTATTAAAAAAGGAAAATAAAAAATAAAAACCCATCTCCTCCTTCAATCTCTTCCAATTCCTTTACCCCAAAATCAAAACCACCTCTACCCAGTTGGCGGTTGCCGGCACCACCGCTGAGGCTTTTTCAGCTTTGAAGACAATTTCTCCTCAATAGCATACAAAACAAGTAGGATAAAGGCACTAGACGTGCCAAAAAATCTGCAAAAATTCCTACAAGTTGCAATGTCCCAATCACCAAGCTCTGAATAAATGCAGAAAATTGAAAAATAGTCTGTGTTGACCAAATTCAAATTCAAAAATTAATCAACTAGCACCTCTACATACACAATACATACATACATACCCTACAATCTAGAAAATCCCAAGAACACACACTAAAATAGGTTCATCGAAAACTCCAAGAACACCAAGAACACACAATAAAAGAGGTCCATCGAAAACACCAAGAACACAAGCATCTAAACCTTGGCTGGATGTCTCAAAGTAGAAGAGAAACAATCGAACACAAGAATCTTGAAACAAACCAAAACTTGAACTGGATAGAAAATTGGGCTGTCCCAAATCTGAAACTCACCAAAAACTGCTAGCTGAACCGAAATAAGCTAAAGCAGAAAATCTGTATACTATCAAAATGAAAACCCATCGATTTATTCATACTCATTTCCATCTTCTTCTTCATTGCCACTTTTGACCTCGGAGTAATTCCTTCCATGGCTGCAATATCACAGGAGGGTCCTTCTATTGTGGCTACTGATGTTGCAGAATTAGGCTTGCATACAACAATGAATGATATTGAAATGATGGAGATAAGATCAATTGGGGTTAGGGGATTGGGAGAGATTGAAGGAGGAGATGGGGTTTTTATTTTTTATTTTCCATTTTTTAATAAATTTTTTATATTAAAATTATAAAGTTACAATTTTACCCTTGCCTTAATTGGTTAAAATTATTAGATTGTTTAATTTTCGAGGTCAACTAACAGTTTTTGGGTCAAACTAATGGAAAGCGTCAATCTGAACTTGAACTGCGAATTTTTTAAAAGTTTGGTACTCACGGTGACACAAACTAAAGGGTTGGGCAAAGTCTGCTAATAAACGAAAGGTTTGGCACCTTGGTTGCAATTTTCCCTAAAAGTAAATAATTTGTTTTTATTTCTACATATGTTTTCATTTATTACTTATTCATACTCATAAGAAAAATTACTCATTTTAACCATAAAATAGATATTATGATCAAAATAAATAACTTATTACAGATTTGATATTGACAATAAAAAGAATATTTGTTAAAACTTATTTATTTATAAAGTAATCTATATATGAGTATATTCTAGAAACCAAGTAAAAAATAGACATGAATTAAATTAAATTTCTTTGGCCCTTGAAATTTTTAGTTGATCCTTTTTCTTTTTTAACTTTGGTTGAGATTCTTTACTCACTTTGAAATGTGGTGATATAGAAGATGAACACACCAAATAACATATTGAGACAGTAACATATGGATTATAGTGACATATAATTGAATGCGTGCTTCGATCAAACTTTCAATTGTTCAAAAAGGCTGGCCGTCAAAGTTCTTAAAAGAGTACTCATTAAGTAATTTTTTAAATTTTCATTGATGGATATATATTTTTGCTTATTTCTATCATGATTCGGTCAGTTTATATTTTATAACGTAAGCCTCAATTTTCTATTTGGTAAAAAAATACGAAGATTTAGTGGATAGATATGTAAGACATCTAATTTTTATTTTTTTTTTATTTCATTGAGTGTCGTATATTCTTTATCGTGAATGTCACGAGAATAACCTCCGAAACTCAGTTTTTTGGGGCGTAAGTTCATTCAAAATTTTTTAAATTTCAATCCATTCTAACATTATTTTCTAGCACTGTCCCTGATTCCCATGTTTAACCGATGCGAGACTTTGTTCGCATTCACCCAACAATCCTTTTCTTGAACAAAGTATCATATCACGTAGCCCTTTAAGCAATAATATCTCTCTTTCTTCCTCAAAGAAGCAAGAATTACGTGTCCAACTCTTCTACTACGTCAAGGAAACTTCCTTACAGGGGCACAGCCGCTTAAAAGCCAACCACAGATTTTTCTTTTTTATTTTTTATTTTCTCCCATCAAGATCCAACTTAGGGCTTACCACCTTTGTTTAACTACAATCGGGATTTACATCGTGCGTCCACATGGCTAAGCTTAGGGCCTAACTCTAATATCACTTGTAAGAAATTTGGGGTTCCACTCCAAAAGTTTAACCAATTAGGTAGAATAATCTAGTCTTTTATAAGTCCATCAAACTACCCCATATTTAACTAATATGGAACTTCGTCCTCACTAAACCTAACATTGCATATGTATCATGTGATTATTGGGTTTTTAACACTCAAATCAGCAAAGAACGTTAGTTTCAGTGACCAAATGAGATATGATAGATAAATATGTATTAAAATTGAAGTTTAGTGTCACGAATTGAAGATGAATGGCCTTATTGAGGTTACATTGAAAGTTGAATTACCTGCGGTGCATTGAACCCTAGGAAAATTCCTTTCTTTTAATAATTCTCTAACCAAAAAGGGCATAGGAACAAATATTATATGGTGAAACTTCGTGTGGGATAATAATTTGCTAACAACCAAGAGAAAAAAAAATTAAGAAAGTTGATAAATTCTGGTAATAAAAATAATTTAACTTCGTAGATATTGTGTATATGTGGTGTTCTTAAATGACATATCTTATAAATTTAGTAATTATGTAATTTTGATACATATTATGGTTAGAATATAAAAGGGGCAAAATGTATTTGGATTCTCGAACTTTTGAAGGTTATGATTACGGGGTTTGAGTTCCAAAACTTTAAAATGCCTGCGTCTCGAGTCCTTTTGTAATAGAAATCGTTAGTTTGACTTTTAAAAAACAAAATGTTAAATAAAATACGTATGTAATCTTAGCTTGATTTAAAACAAATTAATAAAGAAAAAGCAAAAGAGTAAAAATGATGTAAAAATAACAAATATAAAAAAAAGTCTAATCGTCATCTCTAGCTTGTTATATTGAACTACTTATATAACAATTTTTAATGCGAAACATGCACCGCAAATAAACGAGCACCCCGTTCATACAAAATTTCTTTGGCTTCATCGCTGATTGACATATGTCGTAGCATGTTGATACATAGTAGGATGATAACTTTCATGTTTAAACGAAGACTAGCTACTTGACTGCAACAAGAGTAAAAGCTCCAATATTATTAGTATGCTGACTGATATTGACACATTGGTTTTGATGGATATCTCAGCTGATTCGATAGACATATTAGCGGGATCCAAAAGGAGTGATATGCTTGCTCTTAAACTAGAATTTAATGATTTGATCGTTTCAAATTGAAGTTTAGTGTCTTCAATGCAATTCAAGCGAAAGTTCAATGACCTCTGGTGTAAGTAACCATTATATTTAAAAATTAGCGGGTAGGAATTCTTAACAAGTGGCGTGTTTGATACTTAATCAGTGTTAAATTAACCAATACAATGTTAGAAGATTTAATTTTTTTGTTTTGTTGCCTGACTACAACATCTGATCTTCCTTGAAAATGCTAGTTTGCAACCAAGTTGATTGGTCCCAACTTGCTTAAATTTTGTTTGTGAATAGATATGTCAATCAATTTTTAAATAGTAGAGAAAGTTAGTTCACTAGTTGACATCCCTAATTGAATTAGATTATACCCTTTTCTATTTTTTTTTATTTTTTATTTTTATCTTCTTTCAGATGCATTAATCATAAATTATTAATAAATTTCACTATTTCACACCCATAATTGAATTAGATTATACCCCCTTTTATTTTTGGGCCCTCTGGGCATAACCCAGTAGTGTAAAGGGTAGGAGTGAGGTTATCTCACGCCTTGCTGGCAGCCGCAGTATGGGAGTTCGATTTCTGAGACATAAAATTTGACTCATTGTAGGCGCAGTGTACAGGTAGCTCTTATTCCCTGGCCTGAGATACATCCCGCAATTTACCTTCCTTACAAAGTTTTAGAGGCGAGGTCTTGGAGGCCCTCAAAATTGAGGTTCAACCTTTAGATTATACCCCTTTTTTTCCTCCTTTTTCAGATGCAGTAAAAATAAATTATTAAAAACTAGTTGATGTAAGAGACTGCAAATGAAAATCCTATTTTTGCAGTTTTCTATTTGATAATTCCATGATTTAGACTTTGATGTGTTTCCTCAACTCCTTCTGGCCCCACAAAAAGATTCCACATTGTGAGCATTCTTTTTCACCTCATACAAACCCTTCCCCTTATAATCCACCTTCAACACTTTGCAAATCTCAATACCAATAATTATTGCTAACTATCTACTGATTTTATTTTCTTCCCCTCATATTTATGGAAGACCCCAAGAACTCATCTGCCAGCAAGCAAGTTTCTTTAAGAGAAACTGAAGAGAGTGGTTGGACAGCTTATTTGGATGATTTTGCATTCAGCCAAAACTCATATTCCGTGGATAGTTTTAGCAGCCCTTCTTTGATTTCTGATGCTGCATGGAATGGTCCTAATAATAATGATCAACCTATCGGGTTTTCTTCATTGGATGGCTCTAAATTTCCCAGGAGATTGAATTTCAAGAACACAAATAGTAAGAAACTTACTTGTGATGATTTGGAGGATACAGCTAGCTCTCCAGTCAACAGCCCTAAGGTATTCACATGAACTCAACAGTTAATATATATTATTTACTAAACATTTGCCATTTTTTTTTTCAACAGTCAATGATATAATTAATGTGAATAGGTTAGCAGTTTGAAGGCCAGGAACTTCAATTACAAAACATCAGAAGCAATCTCCAATAATTTCTCAATACATGGAACAGATGAGAGAAACGAAACGAATTTTGCTGGTGAAAGAAATAGTGAGTATACGGAGAAAAAGAAGAGGGGATTTTGCCTGGTGCCTGTGGCAGTGCTCATGAACCATCTTCGCTGAACAAACCCGAAAAAATTACTGATCATGATAAGTATATAATTTTACCGGTGAAAATCCACGGTTATCTAAGAATAGACTGTGTTTGTGCGAACAAACCTATGTACTCTCCGAATCATATTTTTGTATATACTCACTCATACCAATGAAAGAATTTACTGCAAATTATGAATTAATTACACGTTTTATTACTTTGATGAAAATTAAATTCAACCAACAATTGTGCTGAGGTTATGAATATAAGTAAATAATTTTATCCCCCAAGTCTCAGACATTTTAAATTTGTATGAGATTGGACGATAAAGTAACAGAATAAGCATAGGTTCTTGTTGAGTTAATTGTTCTAATGGTCACTGAACTTTGGTTCATGTTTTTGATTGACCACTAAAATTTAAAATGTTGAGTTTCAGTCATTGATTTTAGGTCAACGTTTTCAATTGTTCGCTGAATTTAAGTCCATGTCTTACATTGCTCACCGAAGTTTAAAATGTCGAGTTTTGACCACTAAATTTTGGAATATGTCGTACGTTACTCACTAGCATAATTGTTGAACTTTAAAAAATATCAAGTTTAAGTGAGTAATGTACAATATTTTTCAAAATTCAGTGAGTAATGTACAATATTATTCAAAGTTTGGTGAGTAATGTACAATATTTTCGAAATTTAGTGATCAAAACTCGACATTTTAAACTTCAATGAGCAATCGAAGACATTGACCTAAGTTCAATGACCAAAACCTGATATTTTAAATTTGAGTGACCAATCAAAGATATAGACGTAAGTTCAGTGACCATTGGAACAATTAACTCTTTCTTGTTTAAAGAAATGTTATGTTAAGGTTTTTAATGAAAAAGAATTCAACATAATATTTTAAGTAAATAATTATCTCTTGACAGTAACACAAGAAAATTCACTGAATGGTTGTTGGCTCTACCAGAAGAGTATTAAATCGGCAATATGTAACTATTTTTGATAGCGTAAACTATAAGATCACAAAATCGTTATATTTGACTTTGTCAGATAATGCTATATTGTTAGCTCATTGGTCCATCGATATGGTTCTAGCCAACAAAATTTGTTGTCACTACATGAATTCATTCTCCAATGGAAGACATTTCCTCTTGTTGTGATTATGAATTTACTTCATAAAGGAAAAAGGTTAAGAAAAAGATGGAAATTTTCTTTTCTTTTTGTTTGGCAATATGTCAAGCGTCAAGCAACGAAATTATTGCTTTTTAACTTATTTTTTTAAATACTAAAGATACCGGGAATGTATTACATACATATTGTTCACTGAATCAATTGACAAAAAGTCAATAGTTGGAATTCTTCAAATACTCACATTGAGGTATCGCCGATGGATATTCAGAATTTGGGTGGACACTCCTTAATTTAAAAAAACAAAAAAAAACAAAAAAAAGAGTGAAGTATTGTACATTTCTCTTAATTTTTTGTTACATTTCTCTCTTTCTCTTACGTCTTTTAACATTCCTTGGGAGCTCAGCTAAAATATTAAATTACAATAACTTATATATTAAATAGGGCTGTACAAAAAAATCACAATCGAATTGTACCAAACCGAACCCGAATCGAACGGTTTTTCTTAAATTAAATATTCGAACGGATATCTGAATTGAGAACTGATGGGTTTGGTTCAATTATCGATTCTAGATCAAGGACCGAATCTCGCTAATTTTTTAATTAATTTATTTTAAATAAGTCAAATTATTTATTATTTCTAAATAAATTTGCTAACTATTTAATTTAACTCAAACAAAAAAATATGATTTTTCTATGTCTAATTTTCAGTTCAAAGTCAACTTAATCAAATTGATCTAAATTTTATCCAAATTTGTTATTCTACTGTAGTAATATTTCTATCGTTTTGGGAGAAATTGAATTGAAGTTCGACAATGCCTCTCTAAATTATTGTGAACGCGCTATCTTCCTCTTCCTATGAGTATGTAAAGAGAGACGCAAAAGACACATAAGATTGGATTGCGTTATTTTGTAAGAATTAAGATTTAACATATCAGTAGTTGAATTAATGTAACTTTGTAAATATCAAAAAATTTAATCATAATACGGAACATTGGAACTGAATCGAATAGAACCAAATCCGAACGATTCCATAATTAAATTTGGACCTGATGGTTCTAGTTACTAAATAGCTGAAAATTTCGGGTCCAGTTTGATTCTCATTAGAACCAAATTGAATCGGATCATATCCAGCCTTAATATTAAATTTCATTGGGCCAATTGAAAAGTATTTCAAAGCTACTAACATCATCACTTGATGAAAAAAATTCTTTTATAAATGATAAATTAATTCCATCAAACAAAGTCAATGGTACGAATAAGAAATCTGAAAATAAGTGTTTAGGAGAATAACAATTTTTTTAAATTCATTAATTTTATAAATAATTTATGCTGTAACTATCTTTCAATTTATAAATAAAAGTATATGTCGATCAAACAGAAATCTAGCATCTACGATAACATGTATTTCACCATAATTCGATGAATTACAGCTCAAAATAAACATACACAAATATGTATAGCAATTCAAACAAAAGTTTATCGAACTCTTAATAGATAATTTCTTCAACAACTTAAATCGATTCTATTAAATTATGTAGAAGTGCTAAATCAAACCTTAAATGCCAATTCTTGTTTAATCTCCAAGCAACTGATTGATTGGTTGATATGAACATTAGTTTGTTGTAGTTCTTTAATTATATCTTATACCTTATCTTATCCAGACAGAGCAAAGATTAACCTCAACTTTTTTTATATTTTCTTTCTTTTTTTCTTAAATTGGTTAACGTTATCTGATATGAAATGTCGATCTCTGAGATTAACAATACATTTTGGATGGATTAGTTAAAGCATTCTAGAAAAAAGATGTTATTTATTTATCAATTAACGTGAATCAGTCTCTTTATTTTGATTATAAAACAAGTTTAGTTCATCAATCAAATAATTAATGATCTTTCATGATTTATTCTAGATGGTAGATAACATGTCTCATTCAACACTAAGCGTTAGCAATTTGATCTTACAATATTCTACACCAAATTGTTTGGTTAAAACTTATCTAGATTATATTGGACAGATAGAAAAATCAAGTATTTTTTCGAACCTAAAGGTTAATCTATTATGAGAAATAACTCTATTTCTTATAAACTCAATAACATCTCTATATAGATCAAGTAGATGTGAGATTTGTTCACACTCTCAACAATCAACCATACGAGTGCTAATGTGGCTTGCTCGAGCATGAGCTCTTTGTTCCCAAGTAGTTCTAACACAAACGTCCATAGTGTTTTTTACTTGACTCTAAATTAAGATCGGTAAAATATGTGGGACTCCTAATTCAACAACCTTTTAATGGCATATTTGCTTACTTTAAAGCTTTGCATCAAACTTGGACTACTTCACTACAACAAAGTTTATTTTTTATAAAAAAAAAGGTTGAACCCCAATCTTGAGGACCCCCACCGCCCCACCCCTAGAGCTTTGTGAGGGAGGTAAATCGCGGGAAATGCCCCAGCAGACCAGGGAACAAGAGCTGCCTGTACACTGCGCCTACAAGAAATCCAATTCTATGTCTCAGGAATCGAACCCCCACACTGCGACTGCCAGCAAGGCATGAGATAACCTCACTCATGTCTTTTGCACCACTGAACTATGCCCCAAAGGGCAAAGTTTATTTTTTATAGCTTGCATTGTATGCCGTAAATAATACTCTACGACATACAGCATTATGCCGTATAAAGCAATGTCGTAAAAAGTTGTTTATTTTTTACGATGTGCAATGTACGCCACTACACGCCGTACAAAGAACGTCTTTATTAATTTTAGGGCGTTCAAATGCACACCATAAAATGCATTTCACTTTTTATAGTGTGTTAGTTTGTACGCCGTATATTCACAGCATAATCTGCTTGTTGGTCCTCCTCTTCACTTCAACTTAGGCTTTTTACTTCGAAATAACTCGTTTGTTCTTGTTTTCCTTTACTTTTCTTGATTGTACTCAAAGAACAATAACAATCTAATCCGATTCATCAGCAAAAATCCTGGAAAGTGAGCGAAGACAAGTATAAAAGATACACATAAAAAAGAAAATCATTTCCTCATAATAAGTGGGTCAATTTTGCTCGTATCAATTCTTTTCTCATCTGCCATTCTTTTTACTATTTATCGTCAAATCTTTGACTAGTCATACTCCACAATTTCACTCAATTTGTCCCATCTACCATATTGTGTCCATAAGAAAATCAATTAGCTAGACTATGCCAGTATGCCCCCATTTTTTGAAATAAAAATGGGCGGAATAGTTTTTTTTTTTTTAAATAGTGATTGAAAAAGAAAAAAAAAATTTCAATTTACATGTAATATTATTTTATGAAAGATTGTGTAATTAAAAATATGAGAGAGAAAAATTGAGTGTAATGAAATTTAGCATTTGTTTGTTTTCCATTTTCCTCTACTTTTAGAAGAAAAAGAGCCGTTGTTGGGCTCCATCTGGCATGAAAAGTTTGACTTGCTTCTCACAATGTATTAGCTGTGATTGATTGATTGTGGCAATTTAGCTACAATTATGAAGATTATTTCCTTTATAAAATATTTTGTCTTAGAATAGCTTTATTTCCTTCCATAGCATATTCTACGTGTATTATATATACACTGATGTATCGCATGCCAAACCAATAAGAAATTACTTCATTCCATATGAAATTTAACACAATGTGTAGAGAGGTGAGCCCAACAGTTGAAAATTTCATTTTCATTTTTCAAAAAATGCCCCTCCAAGAGGCACTAATGTAATGAGATTCGAACGGGGACTATGTCTCACATCCAGGTCTTGTTAGAGCTTAACGATGTTTGCGACCCTTATTAAAGGATTGGCACGTGGATGTGAGATTTGGCATTTGTCCATTTACTCGGGTATCATATTAATCTCTAGAATCGAAAAAGTTCAGATTCTGGAGAGACAAAAAAATTATTTATTTATTTATTAATATTAATGCTTTTACATAATTATTCCTTCGAGGAATTAGGACCAATTCGAGGGTTTATTCACCTTTGTATTTAAATTCTCAATTTGTCATTGTCCATCTAAATGAAAAGCCACTAGTGATTAATTAAATAATTACATACATTCCATTCACTGTATGGAGGTGTG